AGCTGTGGAATAGAAAATATGTATTTGTAACATAGAAAATAATCAAAGACTCCATCTGGGCTGGGGCCCTGGGGCACCTCATTAGCTGCGCGGCACAGCCCCGACGCTCCTCGGCGTCGGGCAGCTAATTTAACCTTCCCAGCCGCAGGTGGCCTTGCAGCTGCACCAGCCGGCAGCTTCGTACCCGCACCGGTTACCGGCTCCGCCAAGGTTACGTGCTTGGGGTTCGAGGCTAAAATAGGACCGACTTTATTGAGCAGGGTGAAGGTCAGAGTAATAGCTTGGCTTAGCAGAGAGAGGTTTTTGATTGCGGCGTGCTTTTAGCTGCTGCTGGGGAAAGGGCCCAGGCAGGTGGCTAAAGAGGAGCGAAGGGCTAAAGGGTTTTTGCAGAGGGTTGCTTGGGCTACCGGCCTCTTTTCTCCCTGATTTAACTGTCCTGGTCTAGGGGAGCAGGATGCTGCCTCCCCAGGAATGCTCGGGATGAAGGCGCATTGCCTCTCTCGACACGGTCCAGCTTTTGAAGCGTGGAGGGACTGATGCTCATTTTGGGCCCCCTTCTCTCCTTCCTGCAAAACAAGACATTCAGAAACGGCAGAGCCCGCCTTATATTTGTTAAGGCTGGTGAATGGTTCACACCCCATTGAATTTCTCACAGACCTTAAGTTCAAAAAAAAAAAAAAGAAAAGAAAAGAAAAAAGGACATAAGCAATGAAAGGCATTAAACAATCATAACTTGGCCCAAGGATGTTGACACCATCTTTCCATTTTTTTCTAGTGCATTTTTTGTGAATTGACCAAGTTTCGGTGCAACTACCTTTTGCAAAGGAGACTGTTCCACTCCGTTGTTTTTTTTGTTTTTTTTTCCCAGCTGGGTCTAGTTTGGGGAAACAGCCTCTACTTTGATCTGTAGCTCTGGATACCGTAACTAGACTCCCTTTGCAGACGGCTCACAGTGTCCGTAGAGCCCTTGCATTTCTCCGTGGGAGAGGCTGCTGCGTTCAGCCGCCCCGGAGACACTGCGCTCCTCACCTGCGTCCTTCCTGCAGCACAGCTGTGCTTTGATGTGCAAACCCAAAGCTGCTCATTTTGGGTGATGAGGGGTCAAAATTCTTGCCTTTTTCTTTTAATGGCCCTAGATTCCTCCCATGATGGAGAATGGCAAGAGACTGCAGAGTGGGGAGATACCCTGAGTTTTTGGTTAAATCCCAGCGTGAGCAGATGTGCTCCATCTCCTTACCTGTTGGTGCACAGGGAAGGAAGGGTTCCAGGCCTTTGCTATGCTACTGTGAAAGACAAAAATCCTTTAAAAACAGATCTCAGGGTGTCCCAAGAGTGGCCACGGTGTGAGTTTCTGGAGGTCATCCGCTGTTGTTTGCGGGACCTGTGCCTGGTGGAGTTGTCCCCACAACCTGCTTGCCATGTTTCCCCTTTGCTTGTGCTTCTGGCTCCGGGACAGCCTCTCACCCATGGGACTTTGCAGCCTGATCCCAAAATGCCAAGGTTTACAAGATCGCTGGGGCGTCCCTGTTGTTTCCCTACCTGCAGCGGCGGTGTCTGATGCTGTAGAGAAAGGCAGACGTTCATTATGACGTGCAGACAGGGTAGGGTTGGGGTGAATACTGCCTAGCCTTCGAAACATGTGAATAAATAGCATGTCTCCAGGTTGAGAAGCTCCTTCAGATGCTTCTTTGACGTGCAGTGCCAGCCAAGCCACGTGCTGCTGCCAAACTGGTTTGCAAAAGTGTCTTCCAGGCAATATTCCCGCGCAACGTGCTCTAGGTGACCCTGCTTGAGCAGAGGGTTGGACTAGGTGATCTCCAGAGGTCTCTTCCAACCTCAACCAACCGTTCTGTGATTCTGTGTGATTTTTACGTTAGTGTCGCAAAAGTGTCTTCATTTTTAGGGCCAGCAGCTCTGAATGGGAGAGGGGAGGCAGTGCAGAGGAGCTGCTCTCTCCCTGGCGGTCCTGTGTTGGATGAGGCTGCAGGTGTCTAATCCCAAAGTGCAACCTTCCTCCATGAAATGCAGCCTCAGTGCTAATTACTCCCGAGGCCAGTCACTAAACGCAGACTTTACTAAGCATGAAAATGCTGTGGATTCAAGGTGCTTCCCTTGAATGTCCTCTCCTCTTCAGTGTGGTTTGCAGAATAGCTGTGGATGGGGCTGAGGTCTTCTCTTGCAGCCGGGAGGGGTGCTGTGCCTTGTCATGTGAATCCAGACCTCTCTGGGGTGTCCAGAGAGTCGAGACACCATTTCTGCCTTAGGAAACCCATAAATCTTGAAATATTCTGTTCCCTTTGCAAACGGCAACAGATTCGGAAGGGCTCGCTGGGTGGTGGTGCCTCTTCGTGGACCGTGGGTCCACCACTGGGTGCAGAGTGGGCACACTTGTGCGGTAAATGAGCGCCTATGGCCTGAGTAAATCACGAAATATGTCTCCGCATCTATTTTAGGACATATCGAAATGTAACAAATTGGGGCTTTTTCCAAGCTCTGCAGAGGGTTCTTTGCAAACTGCCTTGATCCCTGCCGGCCAGGGCTGGGAGACCTTCTCTTCCTGTGGATCGCAGAGCTGGGGTTGCCTCTCGGTAGGCTCCGGAGCGACATTTCGCTCTGATCCACCTCAGCTTCATCTCATCCTCCTCCTCCGGAGTCGGGAAGCGGCCGAGATGTTCGGCTCGAGTTCACTAGAGGGCGCAGGAATTTTAGGCTGGAAAACGGCGGAGGTTTGTAAGGGAAAGTTGGCTGCCTTCTCCTCCTTTTTAATCAACTGGAAAGATGCAGGGTTGAACTGGAGGTGACTGGAAGGGGATCCAGACTTGTGTCTGGCGAGGGAAGGACCCGCTGACATCTGGGATTAGGCGGCGCGCAGTGCACAGGCTGCGAGCTGGGGTGGCGCTTCGAGGAGCCGGGAGCATCGCCACGGCCTTTGCTGCAGGACAGCAGGACGGCTCAAGAACGAGTAAAAAACAAAAAAATCCAACCCTTCCCACTCCCCCAAAACCTGCCATCCCACCCCAAAAGCTGAATGCTCCCCCTTTTTGGGTTGGCAGCAAGGGGCCAGCTCCTGCCTTCCTGCAGCCAGGCTCCTGCCCCGTGGGTGGCTCGGAGGACGGAGACCTCGGCACGCGGACCCTCTGGAGCCATGCCGGCGGCAGCAGCACCCGGCCGGTGCTCACGGCTCTGGGGCT